TTTTTTTTTTTTTTAGAAGTTGAAAATTGTTCTAGCGTTGAGCACCCAAGGGTGTGGTCGATTCATAGATCAGATAGGTGAAAACCATGGGAGTCCAGGGTTCAACTCCTAGGAAAGACGAAAAAATGCTTGATTTCTTTCCATCTGCCTAAATCTTGATGGGCAAAGTTAGATAGTAGGTACTCGGTTAAATGGTCAAGGTGTTGTGGAGTTGTTTTTTCCTCTTTAAGGGTCCGTCTTATGCGTTGAATTGCTTATTAACGTTATATATTGATATATTCTAGCATGAGAGTCATTTTGATTGATGGGTTTATACTTCCCCATATAGAAATATTGGTGTATTTTCCTTCCATTTTCCCTTATTATATATGTTTATTGCCATTTGAATTTCTTCTGATTTGATTTTCTTAGGTCCAGTATTGGTTGTTGATTTCATATACTTTTACCCGCTTCTGTTGTTATTTCTTTTAAGTGTAAATACATATTCGAGCATTTGGGCTATGGATATTTACCCATTTATGTTGTCCTGCATATAAATCTTCATAACTTTGTCTTTAGTTCCCAAATCACATCTGTATATCATTATTTCAAGTTTTTTTTTATTTCATTTGCTTAGCCAGTGAAGCCTTGACCCAGTGGTCAAAGTTGAGGTACTGAGTGCAAAAGATCTTAGGTTCAAATTCCATGGGGATATGGTTTCTTTCCACAAGAGGATGGTTATTCCTCCTACTTGTGTGCTAGAGGATGTCAATTAACACTATCCAGTGGTGTAATGTAGTAAATATATTCTTAGCATTTGTCAGAAATAAATTCTTCATACACTTAATACCATATGGGTAGTTGGTATTAATCCATTTGTACTGATTGTTATCAAAGTTTGGTGCATATTTCCCTTTACTTAATTGGGTTTATCTGTCGTTATAAGAAAAAATAGAAAACCCGCGCTGCTTGTTTTCTCCAACCGAAGCTGTTTAAATCCTCTTGTTTCCAATCAACGAGTCAGGGGAGTGTTCTTCTGTTATTTCTTCTGCTAGAAAAATCATTTTACAATGTCATATTGATTTCACAGACTTGCCACATAGTTGAGCAACTTAAATTTGAGGCCCAAAAATAAAGAAATAGATAAAGAAAGGGCAAAGGTCCAAATATGCCCTTGTACTATACGAAATTGAGCACAATTGCCCTTCGTTAATACTTTAGCTCAAATATGCCCTTACCGTCACATAGTTGGTCCATATATGCCCTTAGAGTTACACATTTGGCTCATATATGCCCTTTTCGAAACGGAATTCACCCAAAAATTATGGTTTAAACTTTAAAATAATAAAAACATCTCAACCTTTAACAATACTCAATAGACCAAAATATTTAAATTATTTCCAGAAAGATAATTTAATGATTAAAAGCCTAGAGTTCAAGTTGTAGTTTATAAATTTGAGTTGTTAGTCTTTTTTCATCTTTTTCAGCTGGACATTTTCTATTTTTTTTTATTAACTATGTAAATTAGGGGTGTACATGGAACGGGTAGGTTCAGTTTTTATCAAAACCAAACCAAACCGATTATATCGGTTTGGATTGTTCGGTTTTGTTGGTTTTTTCGGATTTTTTGTTACATAAATATTATTTCAATCTTACTTTGTTAAATGTTTTAGAACTAAATATATGTTCAGTAAAAATTAAAAAATTGACAAACATATGATCTATCTTGATTACCTTATGGGAGAATTTTTTTAGTTATTGGAATTCATGAGTTTTGTCAAGTGAAATTGGTGACGAAAATGGAGAAGACATCAGTAATGGAGGAAATCGGATAAGTGAGAAAGAAAAAGGAAAAAAAAAGAAAACAGAAGAAAAAAGAAGAAAGAAAAGAGAAAGGTAAAGAAAACAAGCACTAATAAAAAGGAAATAGTGTTTGTAATACACTTTAATACAATTAACGAAAGAGCTAATTCGTTTGGGTGGATTCTATTTCGAAAAGGGCATATATAAGCCAACTGTATAACTCTAAGGGCATATATAGACCAACTATGTGACGGTAAGGGCATATTTGAGCTAAAATATTAACGAATGGCAAATGTGCTCAATTTCGTATAGTACAAGGGCATATTTGGACCTTTTCCGATAAAGAAATAAAAACATGAAAATAAAATAGAAGGAAACAGCATTTTGTTATTTCACTATTTCCATTTATCTGATTAGATAACTGCTTGTTAACATTTTATATGGTTATGGGTTTTTGTGAAACAAGGGCTTAGATATGATGATCTGCATGATCCAATGTACGATTTGGACGTCAAGGAAGCTCTTAATCGCCTTCCAAGGGAGATTGTTGATGCCAGAATCCAGCGCCTTAAGCGTGCCATGGACCTCTCAATGAAGCACCAGTACCTCCCAGAGGATCTCCAGGTACTTGCATAGTATCCTATTGTATGCCACACTAATCTACAATTTTCTCTTGTGAAGTATTGGTGCATGTGGTGGCAAATAGAACAATCGAAGTATTGGTACATGTGGTGAAAGGGGTATTATTGAATGATAGGCTAGGAGTTGAGTGAAGCAAGCTGAGCAAAGACCTTTTTTTTAACTAATAAAATAATAGCAGTTATTGACGTAGGAACTTTTGGGAATCATATGGTGAGATCTTGATAGCTCTTTTATGTGTGGTTGAATAGTTCTTCTCAGTAAGCATCCTAATTTTCTGTACACAATTTTGATAAGGGGAGAACATTATCTATAGATCTTCTGTTCCATGAGATACTGTAGTTATTAGATTTCATTTTTTGATTGGTTGAAGAGGGTAGTGAGTGAGAATGAGTCACTTTTTTTTTTTAANCCCCACACACACACACACACACCAAAACCCAACAAAAATTAGGAGGAAAAGGAAACAAGAACGTTGAATTTCTTCTTTGACATCTTTTTGCCTCTCTTTTATGTTCCACCATCTATCCATTTCCAATTTGTATGCCATCTATGAAGCAGTGGAGTAGTTTTCTCGTCTCCAGCAAGGAAGCACTTAATTTAGCTTAGTTCTCAATAAGATGCTTTTTGAAACCTAGCTACATGATCTTGTTTCAGCGAAAGCTTCTTTGATTTGGTGGTTATATGAATGTTCACTAATAAATCACTGCCAATCACATTCTGGGACCCAACTGAAAAGATTAAATTCAACAATCAAAATATGATTATTCTATGTCTTGTCTCATATAATACTCCTAGCTTGTATTGAGATAGCTTGTCTAATGAAAAAGGTTTCTCGATGTATCCATGTTTATTATTTTTTCCTCTAATCCGCTGGTGGATTCTTTTTTTTTGTTTGAGTTTTATTGTAAATGTACGTGGCAGATGGGCCTTTCCCCCTTTGCTGGTTTTTGTGGCTACCCTGTCAGGCTGAGGAAATCTTAATAGAGTGGATTATTCATGCCATTAAGCAACATTTGTCTTAAACCTGTAAGACTGGGATGATTGGCATGCAAAATACATAGTTCCCTAGTTATGGAATGAAGAGCTTGATATTAATGTCAGAGATCATCTATGCACTGTAGATTGTGAAAGTATTATAGTCTTGAAGAATTTAAAGTCCTCAATTTTGTTCCTCTTAGTGTGGGAATTGTTGTTGTTGTTGTTGTAATTTTGTTCCTCTTAACTTCAGATTGGTTCACTTGGATATTATATGTTCTCTTTGAGAGCTAACTGAAACTCATTTAACTTAAATATCCTTTTGCGAAAAAAAGGATTGAAAGGTTACATCTTCGCACATGGGTCTCTATAGAAAGTAGAGCGATAGGGAATAATGTTTTTTTCCGGTTGTTTCTTTTCTCTAGTATTTTCAACATGGCTTCTGCACTACCTTTTTTTTATATTTTCAAACTTGCTTTGTGTTTTCTTTGAGCCGAGGGTATATCGGAAACAACGTCTCTATCTCACACAAGGTAGGGGTAAACTACCCTCCCTAGACCCCACTTGTGGGATTACACTGGGTATGATGTTGCTGGGGTGGTTGTTATAATCGTCCATTCGCAAAGGGTTGGTTTTTAAGTTTACATTTACTTCATAAAAAAGGGGTTGGAAAAGTTAAGATTATTTACTGTTCTAATGTTGACTGAACTGGAATGTAGAGGTATACATTACTTGTTTGGTATTCATAAAAGGTTTTACCAATTCTTGCAGGCAATGCAAACACCATTTAGGAGCTATCTTCAGGAAATGCTAGCTCTTGTAAGTTTCCATTATCTATCTCTAGTTCCTGCTCTGGATGAATCAGTTATATTTCCAATTTCATTGAGAGTACGTTACTGCTCCACTCATGCCTACTCAAGGCATCAGATGATCATTGAACTCTTATGGAGTTCAAACCTTACTTGTTCTTGATTTCTGCTTCCAACGGTAACCTTGCTGGTCTATGTATGTGCCTTGAGTAATTTTTCTTTGAATAAGTGTGCCTTTAGCAAAAGTGGCCTTGCTTTCTTTATAGTGATGCCATTTTGCATCTTCTTCTCTGCCTTATGTCCTTTCATATTCAGTAACCTGCAAAGGGTACTAGTGTATCACTTGGAATGGTTTTTAGCCATTAGCTTCTTGGATTTTGACCCAAATGAGTTGGTTTTGTTACATATACACGGCCTTTTGACAAGATTATCATCAGGTTTCTAATGAATGTGTTTTATCTCTGATTCGACATTTAAGCAAGTAATATCTTGGCATGCCAAACATCCTCTTGCTATTTTATCATTGTAGATTCAGAACAACCATACGGTCTAATGATGGGTTTGAGGCTATTGTGTAACTTTTATTGATACATGTTGATTGGCCGACTTATCTTCTTACTTCTTAGAGCTTAACTAGGGTGGGCGCTAATGCGCTTGGTTTATATGTTTTACAGGTTAAAAGGGAGAGAGCAGAACGTGAGGCTCTGGGAGCTTTGCCTCTCTATCAGCGTACAATTCCATGAAGAAATCAAATCTCTCTTGAAGCTTTTTCCATCGAGAATAACTACTGTGTTGCTTGTAGATCTCCATGATGGAGATAGAAATATATTCTGTGGGAAAACCATGTTGTTCGCCTTCTATAATCAAACACTTCAAGTTAGTCATCCTGCGGGCTTGGTTTTTGTACACCTATATATCTTTATATGGGGCGTACATTTTCACTAGAACTCCCATATTCGGATTGCTTTGACAGGTTTTATTGGTGTTTCCAAGTACACGTCCAAGGAACATAATTTTGCTTTACCTTTTCATTTTGTTTAACTTTATGCCCCGCGGGTTTTTGTCGTGTCACGAATAGATGAGTTGCCAGAGTAGTTGCATCTCGTACTGTTGACCTATAAATATAAATTAGTAATTGAACAATAGATTAATTGCAATGTTATTGTTACCCAAAAATAGAAAAAGAAAAGATCCATCATCCATGGTTATGTCTTCGGTTGGCTCAAATCCTCTTCTCCTCTCCAGTATATTCTTTGATGGTAATGCATGAGATTTGAAATAGCCCTTAATGGTGCATGTGGATTAGGGGTATTAAATTGGTTGGTTCAATCAACGGGTCAAGTCGAGCCGTTTGTAGCACTTATTTATGACATCCAATTTTTTTAAAAAAGTTTAGTTAGCTTTGATGAATTTCAAAGTGAATCTCCTCTTGAAGCTTACATAGGAGGAAATTTAGTATTTGTGAGAAGATTGTAGAGAAGTATGGATATTTTCTTTGAAAAATCTTAGATGCTTATGGATTTGCTAGGAAAGTCCTTGAAATTTTCTAGGCTTGTAGAGAATTCTAGAGAAAGTCCTTATTTTGTAAATATTAAAGACTTGTGTAACAATTAATATTTACACACTAGCCCCTAGGAGACTAGTATATAAAGGGGACCATTCATTTGTAATTCACCAAGCAAACAATTCAAGTTCTCTCTAATACAAAGCTTTCTTTAACAATTCTCTTAGCGATCTTGAGTGTAGTAAGGCTGACTTGGCATAGCAAGAATGTGAGCAAGTTGTGCAAGATCGTGAGAGAGTTGTCAAGTGTCGCACGTGTATTTAGTTAAATACTAAGGACGTGACAACGTGGTATCAGAGCAAAGGTTGCAACTAAGAGAATGGCGAACGACAGAGAAATTAACGCTGCCAACACCCAAGCCAACGTCATCCAGGATGCTGTTGGCAAGAGCGGCCGTAACAAAAAGAGGAATGCCACCAACAAGAGCCAGGAGGTACCACCCGAGGTTGTGTCAAACGAAGGGTTAACATCCCAAGAGCCATCTGCCACTGAGGCGAGCGAGGATGAAGTGGAAGTCCTCCCCGAGGACGTCTCGCTCGGTAAAGAATGGATGATGAAGATGAGCGCGGGGATGGAAGCCGTGGAGATCTTTGGCCAAGGGAATGTGGAAGGCACCCTTAGCGTTCTTGAAGGGCACACTCTTAAAGAGATCGAGAGTATCCGAAATGACTTGGAGGGACGTACACAGACCGAGATGGAACTAAGGCAAACCATCATTGCCTTAGAGTGCAGACTCATGGAGGCTTTGAGTACTATAGATGCTATGAAGGCAAAGACAGAGCCACTCGAGGAGCATGTTAGTGCTGGTGTGACCGAGGCAGCCAGCAATGTTGTGATGGAGGGAGGCCAAGATCGAGGCTCCCAAACCCCCGGTCTTCAAAGGTGTTCGTGATGCACAAGAAGTGAAAAACTTCCTTTGGCACTTGGAGAACTACTTCAGGCAGGACAAAATGAGGGACGACGGGGCAATGATCAACACTGCAGTGTTGTACCTCTCAGAGACTACCATGCTATGGTGGAGAAGGAAGATGGCCGACGTGGATAAAAGTCTATGCACTATTAGCACATGGGATCAGTTCAAAGCCGAGTTCAAGAGACAGTTCTTTCCAAACAATGTATTGTACGAGGCAAGGCGCAAGCTTAGGGAGTTGAAGCAAACATGAAGCATACGTGTCTATATCAAGGAGTTCACTACCCTTATGCTTCAAATCCCCAACCTGACCAATGATGACTTGTTGTTCTACTTCAGGGGCGGGTTACAAAATTGGACTAAGCAGGAGTTGCAACGCCGGCAAGTCGCAAATATAGACCAAGCCGTAGTGGAGGCCGAATCATTGATGGATTTTAGGCATGACAATCACGACAAAGGCAAAGGAAAAGAAACAAAGTTTAATAATGTCAAAGGTGGGGGAGACCGTGGCAAAGGCAAGGAGATACAACAACAATACTACAAGACTCAAGATTCCAAAAAGTCGACTGGCCGTCAGGGCTACACCGAGAAGAAGGCACAAGCCGAGAAGAAGGGATGTTACATATGCGAAGGGCCGCACAACTTCAGGAATTGTCCCGACCTAAAGAGCCTCAGCGCCATGGTCCGTGAACGGAAGGAGCAGCCGCAAGTAGAGAGTTCGGGAATCGCACAGTTGGGTACGAGCAGATTATGTCCCGTCACGAAGCAAGCTCTCCAACCTACCGAGAATGGCAATCAGTACGTGGATCTCATCATCAACAACAAGCCTGCTCAAGCAATGGTGGATACTGGAGCAACTCATAATTTCGTGACTGAGGCTGCCGCAAAGAGACTAGAATTGAAGCTTGCTCCAACCAACTCTCACGTCAAGACTGTGAATGCCGAGGTACAGAATGCTCGTGGGGTAGCTAATGGAGTTGGTGTCAAATTGGGAACTTGGAAAGGTATGGCAAACTTTATCGTAACCGCTATGGATATCTTTGACATCATATTGAGGCAAGAGTTCTTTAGACATTGTCATACTTTGATCGACCCCTACCTCCAACATCTCTTGGTTATGGAGCGAGAAAGAGCTTGCATGGTACCTACAATGACTATGCTGCACGGACAGATCCAAGCACAACTCTCAGCTATGCAGGTTGTTAAGTGGATCAAGAAGGGGGAGCCGACGTTCGTGGTAACCATCACAAGTCTGGAGGAAGACAAGAGTTTTCAAGAGATACCGCCGCCTTGCATAGAGAAGTTGCTTGAGGAAAACAAAGACGTCATGCCCGAGGAGTTACCTAAGCATTTGCCGCCTAGGAGAGAGTTGGATCACAAGATTGAGTTGGAGCCAGGGGCTAAGCCACCCGTATTTTCCCCATATTGTATAGCACCGCCCGAGCTAGAGGAGCTCAGGAAACAATTGAAAGAGTTGCTAGATGCTGGTTACATTTGCCCATAAAAGGCACCTTTTGGTGCACCAGTATTGTTCCAGAAGAAGAAGGATGGATCACTGCGCTTGTGCATAGACTACCGAGCACATAATAAGGTCACAATGAAGAATAAGTACCCGATCCTGCTCATTGCTGACTTGTTCGATAAACTTGGGCAAGCCAACATCCCTAACTTGATCAGTTCGTGGTAGTCTTTCTAGACGACATAGTCATCTACATAAACACCTTGAAGGAGCACATGGAGCACTTAAGGAAGGTTTTCCAGGAGAACGAGCTATACATCAAGAGGGAGAAATACGAGTTTGCACAATCAAAGGTGCACTTCTTAGGCCATGTTATTAGCAATGGCGAGTTACGCATGGATGAGGCTAAGGTACGTGCTATCCAGGAGTGGGAGGCACCTATAAAGGTAACTGAGTTGAGATCCTTCCTGCCTTGTTAACTACTATCGTCGGTTCATCAGTGGCTACTCAGCAAAAGCTGCACCATTGACCGAGTTGCTAAAGAAGAACAAGCCATGGGTTTGGACGGAGCATTGTCAAAAGGCGTTTGAAGGCCTTTAGGCAGCTGTAATAGAGGAGCCAGTCTTGGCATTACCTGACTTTGCCAAGACATTTAAGGTGCATACAGATGCCTCAGATTTTTCCATTGGGGGTGTCCTGATGCAGGATAAGCATCCCATAGCGTTTGAGAGCCGCAAGTTAAATGAGACGGAGCGACGTTACACGGTGCAAGAGAAAGAGATGACTGCCATTGTGCATTGCCTTCGTACATGGCGACATTATTTGCTTGGGTCGAGGTTCGTGGTCAAGACCGACAATGTAGCTACTAGTTACTTTCAGACGCAGAAGAAGCTCACACCAAAACAGGCTCCGTGGCAGGATTTCTTGGCCGAATTTGATTATGTGCTGGAGTATAAGCCGGGCAAAAGTAATGTTGTAGCCGATGCCTTGAGCCAGAAAGCCGAGCTTGCTGAAATCACTTCAACAAGATGGGACATTCGTGAGGCTATAAAAGAAGGCATGCAACATGATCCAGCAGCCAAACAACTTATCGAGTTAGCCAACCAGGGAAGTACGAGACGTTTTTGGGTCGAAGATGACCTACTACTTACCACAGGTCGGCGGGTCTACGTGCCTAAGTTTGGAGACATTAGACGGCGGATCATAAGGGAGAGTCATGACACAATGTGGCCTGGTCATCCAGGCTAACGTCGCACTAGGGCCTTGGTTGAGTCAGTCTACTATTGGCCATGCATGCGAGATGATATAGAGTGTTATGTGCAGACTTGTCTTGTCTGTCAACAGGACAAGGTTGAGCAACAAAAACTAGGAGGACTTTTGGAGCCACTACCAGTTGCAGAACGTCCATGGAAGAGCGTGACTATAGACTTTATCACTTGCCTTCCGAAGTCCGACGGTTATGGTACTATTATGGTGGTAGTGGATAGGTTTTCCAAATATTCCACCTTCATGCCCGCCTCACCAGGTTGCACTGCCAAGGAAGCCGCCAAACTATTTTTTAAGAATGTGGTGAAGTATTGGGGCTTACCAAGGCATATTATCAGTGATCGAGACCCCCGTTTTACTGGAAACTTTTGGAGAGAGTTATTCGACATACTTGGCACGAAACTGCACTTTTCCACTAGTTTCCACCCATAGACGGATGGACAAACAGAACTAATGCCTTACTAGAATGCTACTTGAGGCATTATGTAAGCGCGCATCAGAAAGATTGGGCAAGACTCCTAGACATCGCCCAATTCTCTTATAACTTGCAGCGGAGTGAGTTCACGGGGCGGACACCATTTGAGCTAGCCACATGCCAACAACCAAAAACTCCACATTTATTACCAGCCGCGTTCGAGGGAAAGAGTTTGGGGGCTTATCATATGGCCAAAGGATGGGAGGAGCAACTTGACACTGCTAAGTCCTACTTGGATAAGGCAGCTAAGAAGATGAAGAAGTTTGCGGACCATAAGCGGCGTCCCACGAACTACAGAGTTGGAGACATGGTCATGGTGAAGTTTAACCCAAGACAGTTCAAGGTACTACGAGGCAT